ACAAAATAAAATAGGACATACTTTTCTGACTTTTCTGTCATCTTCCCTAAATGAAAATACACAATAAAGGGCTCTCTCCACTGAAGAATTTTATCATAAACACCAAAAGTTAAGACAATTGTGATGTTTGCAGTCTGTAGGGTAGAAGTAATTTATTGTTCTTGCTGTGTCTGAATGTGCAAGGAAAACAGTGCAATTTGAGATGCCTAAGGTCTGTGGTTGGCTATAGACCATGGCCACGGTCAGTGGTTGGCTTTGATGCTGCAGGATGGAGAGTCAGCAATCAGGGCAAAAATGATGGTAGGGTTTTTCACTCATTTACACCTTTTGATTTTTTAAGTGTGGATATTCACTGCGGCCAAATATTACGCTGGATTTCCCCCCTATAATTGACATACAACATTGCGTAAGTTTTAGGTGTATAATGTGTTGACTTGGTACACTTATATACTGTGAGATGATTCCCACAGTAGGGCTAGGTAACACCTCAATCGCCTCACATAATTACCTTTTTTTTGTGGTGAGGGCATTTAAGATCTATGCTCTTAGCAACCTTCAAGTACCTAGTACAATATTGTTAACTATAATCACCCTGCTGTACATTAGATATCCAGAACTTATTCATCTTATAATTGGAAGTTTATACCTTTTTGACCAACATCTCTCCATTTCCCCCATCCTCTACCCCTTTGGCTACCACCATTCTACTGTTTCTATGAGGTCAGCTTTTTTAGGTTCTACATATAGATGAGGTCATACAGTATTCGTTGTTGTCTGTCTGACTCAGCATAAATTCCCTCAAGGTCCAGCCATGTTGTCACCAATGCCAGGATTTCCTTCTTTATTTCTTCACTACTCCAGACCTTTCTTCATTGCCACCCTGCCAAATTCCCTGCCTTCAAAGATAATCAGTGCCCTTACATTCTCATCAGGTCCCTTGCCACCAGAGCTTGCTTCCTTTTCAAAAGATCCGTGATTCAACTACATAAACCCCTTTTAGGAACATTAGCGTTTTGATAAGCATTAGAGACTTCCTCTAAAAAGAAGGACACTGAAGGAGAAATGTTTGCTCAGCCAGTGGGTTAGGGACTCTGAGTCAAGTTTCCTCAACTGGGCTTCACATCTTCCTTGGCACATCTCTTTCTTTCTGATCACCTGCCTTTGCTCCACCTTGTTGCTCCCCGTATTAGCAACACATTGCTACCTGCATGCCACCAAAACACCCTTTAGACCCAATTTTAGACTGAATCCTTTCAAGCAACTGGCTCCACTACCTCCTACATTGTTTAAACTCTTTAGTTTCAGTGGAACTTAAAGACTAAGATTTTCTGGCTGACATGGTATTAGCTTCCCATGTTGAGTATAATTTTATGAATGGCAGCTGACTATACCTAGACACCTTTCGTTTTCCATAGATCACCTGTAGAACTTGCATTGGGCATGTGGATTCATTCTGGACTTTGTTAATGCAAAACACTGTATTTTGTCTTGCTTTGGTGGACTGAGAAATCATTTAGCTATTTCTTGATTTGTATCTTATATAACACTTTGTGAAATAAGGTATTACTTTATCTTTACAAGTTGGGAAGTGGTGGAGGTTTTCTTCTCATAGCCCTTGGTGCTTAGTGTTCAGTCCTCCCTTCACTTACTGTTATCTTAATGCACACAACAAAATTCACCCTCAGGCAGAAAACATGCTCACAACTATTTCCTTTCTTGATGTATTTAAATCAAGAGTATTTTCCCCATGGTGTCAAAGATTTCTAAAACTAAAGCAACCTAGATGGGTCTACCTGCATGAGAAAATACTGCTATACATAACAATGGTGATATTTTTTCCATGAAGAAATGAGAATGTAGTATAACTCAGAAATAGTATTTCTATTGAAAAGAATGCAGGAAGCAATTTAGAGCTAAGTATTTTTCAAACACTACATGCTGTTGCTACTAAATAGGGAAAATTAACTAGAATATATTTCCGAGGGATAATTTTTGGTTCTGTCTCTCAAACTCACCCAGGCTATGGTGCCTTGGCTAATCTGTCGTTCCCCCTGACCATGTGTTCCTCATTTCAAAGATGAAAATCATGGTGATGGTTGTCCTACTCACATGCAAGGATTGCTGGTCAGAAAAGTGAGAAATATAGATAAGTGCAAATATAAACCATTAAATTAATTAAAAATATATATATTTACAGAAGAGATGGTCTTTTTGTTCATTGTGAATTCTGTGTATTGGAAAAATACAATGGCCATATCAAATTTGTTATTTCTTTGGAAATTTGTATTTAGCACAAAACTAATTTTTAAAGAGAGGGTAGATTTAAAGTCTATTTAAGGACAGTTATTAGGTAACTAAGGATAGATGTCACATAAATTGGCATAAGTGGTAAGAGTGATATGCACAGGGATGTAGTTTAGGAAATAGTAGAACCAGAGGTGAAGATTCTGGTTGCCTTTGTTAGAGGGATCTAGCCACTTGATAGTCTTGAAACCTTGGGCAGATGACTCAAGGGTTATTTCCAAGTAGCATTATCCAAGTTCATTGTAAAAGATTCAACAACTAAAGAGTTACTAAGTAAAAGTAATGTGATTTGAATTTGCTGAGGACTCCAGTATTTTCCTAAGCAATCTGGCTGCCATGCAGCTGCTTGATAGTGTTGTGTATGTGCTCCTGAAAACATCTGGAATTTTACAGTTTTTCAAGGAAAACACTTTGTTTTCAGTGCTGCAAAATTCTTGTCTCGAGTTAGTCCTGGTTTTTACTAGATGCTGGTTTTCTAATTACATGTATAGGATTACTCCTCTATGTAATCTGTGTATCAATTTGCATTTTTTTTTGTAATTACGGCAGTGTTATCATTTAATGATTGTTTTCCTTGTCCACTCTTTTGTTACTGCTAAATTCTTTACCCACTAGATGTAATAGCATTTGGTGGTAGGTGGACCTCAGTATCCTTTGCCCAGTGTAAAAAGTTCTCTGAACATTTTTGAGAACCAAGGAATTAATGACTTATATTCCTCTCTTTTAATTCAGTGTATTCTTTCCACTCTGTTCTGTTCTGTCTAGTCTGTCTTGTTTTTTTCTAATCTGGTCATAAGGAACAGAATGTTAAGGCAGAAGTTTAACCAAGACTCAAAGATAATAAATGTCAGAAACAAACTGACTTGAGAAGCCAAAATTTCAAAGTAGTTTCAGAAACCAATTATAGGATTCTTATAGCTCCCATCCAAGTCAAACAGTGACAGGGTCAGGTCAACATTGAAAAAGGGTTTGTGAGTCAGATTTCTTTAATGAGCTCTCTGCTATTAGGAAAGGTGTAGAAATGCTTCTCTCCTCATTTCAAATCAAGGGAAGAAAGCTTCACCAGAACTGTTGGGGAGCCTGAAGTTAAGGGGATTTGGGGAATGGAGTCCAGTTCTTACATGAGAAATATAAAGGGTTAGATGATGACAGACGAGCCAAAGTAGACTTCAGCCTTTCCTCAAGTAACTAATGGGAACACTTGCCTCACAAGTGTTTCATGTGAACCAAATACATTCCTCCCATATTTGGAAGGGAGATAGTATCTTAGCAGACAGAATCTGGAAAGGTACCAACAAAATTTTAGAGTCTATGGACATTGTGAAGGAACCAGAGTTTCATATGCCCATTCCAAAGTCTCTAGCCATTGTCCTTGGCAAGAAGTCCCTGAAGGGCCCCTGAGTGTGCGCACAGAAGAATCATCTCTAAACGTCTGATAGTGGTACTTGTCAAGGATAAACTTTGCTGCTCCTCTCAGCCGCCTTCTCTCCTTTCTACAGCTCAGGAGGCCAAGGTAGCCATTTGCCGAAGGGTGAACAAAAAAATGAAACATCAGCCATGCTCACACCATTTCTGGGCTCTTTAACAAGCCCAATGTTGGAAAGAAATATTGTCTTTGTTTTAAGATTGACGTGTGTTTATGTAATCAAACCTTCTAACATCTTGAGTTGAGATTTTGGCAACTTAATGTGACCACACAATTTTTTATTATCTAAGAGTGATCAGAAAAGTCATGATACTAATTGAAATTTTATCCTGGTACAAAAGATAAGCATTCCCCATTGAATATGTTTTAAAAATTAAGTGGGAGGCAAAATTAATTTCCTTTGTCATAACACCTCATAAGTTCTATATGTTCACTAATTTTATAGCCTCAATAGAAAATCTGTTGCAACTGAAATAATGCAGTCTTACAATAGATGTTGAAGGAATTATCTCAAAGTTAAATTGGTGCAAGGTTTAACTGTTAATATATTTTCAATCAAGGTTCAGACAGAAAGAGCAGTTCATCGTGTGTAAAACTATTTCCTGAAATATCCAGGTAGTTTGAGTAATTGACTCAAAAGTTAATTTCTGTGTCTTTTGTTTACTTTCTTTCTCATATAAGACTCTTTTAACTGTACATCTTGCTTTATATTTCTGTTTTTGATAGATTCTCTGCAACCTTTCCAGAAATGTTGGAACATTTTCCATGCAAAGTTTTCTCTTCTTTTTCAAGGTTTATATGGAATCTGAGTGATTCTAAGATCATAAAATCCATTAGTTTGTTTTGGCAGATTACATCTTATCTTAAACATTACTATTCTCTTATACCCATTTGTTTTAAATTCATAGCAACTAAGCAATGTGTGCTAAAGACACTGATCATTAGAAGGTTTGAAAAATTTTGTTTCAATTAAAAATATTCAAGAAAAATGCATAATTTTAGTTGATTTAAGAGATGTTTAAACATGTCTCATCTGTTTCATTTCTCTCTTTCCAGATTAAATGCAACTTCACAAAGTTGTGTAATGGCCAGAATATGGCTTGTAATATCTATAAATTCTACTGGCTGAAAAGAAAATGTTTGCTATCTTTGGAGATATGTACCACAAAATCCATTGTATAAGAGCCTTCAAATTTTACTAATTGCTTCAGTTTCTGATCTTATTTGTTTTTTTCACAGGCCATTTTGATTCTATTTGCTTGTTTTCTAGGTGAACCTGATCTTCGTAAGAATTCAGAAGGTCAAGGAAATGCTGGAGAAAAATGTGCTGATACACATTCATAGGTTTGAAACACCATAAAGGCTTCTGTCATTTTTAACATGAGAGGCAAGTATTATTTTTTAAATAAGAAACCTAATTTCTGAAATGAATGGTTTGTAGAATATCACTAAAGGCAAAGTTAATGTCCTCTTGGGTTCTTTTAAGAAAAATCTGTTTTCTATCTCCTGAGGCAAAATCTTAAATATTTACCTTTTTAAAAAGTTCTTAACTTGCTTTTCAATAAAAATTATACTTACCAAAACATTTCAGTCCTTCAAAAATAATAGGCTATAGTCAATGCAGAAGTTTAACTCTGATTTCTTTTTCTACTTCATGTAGGGAATATAAATGTTACAATGGGTGATAATAACAAAACAAGTACGTATTATGAAGGAAACATCAATATTTGCTAAAATCCATGGACATGTGCCTTAATAGTTCTCTTAAAAATTCAGCTTCTAGGGCTCGACTTCGATCTACTAAATTATTAACTTTGGGAGTGATGCCTTGGGAATCTGAATTTTTAATAAACTCATCTGTTGATATTTCTGTAAACTAAAGTGGAGAACCACTGTATTGGGCCTTCAGAGGAGGGCAGGTACTTAGAAGGGAGGGATGTCTATTTGTAGTGGAGATGTCTTAGTGTCTCCTTTAAAAAGTAAGAACCAAAGCCCAGGTGTTATAATTCATCCTGCTGTTGGAGTGATGGTGGGGGCAAGAGAAGATGCTGAGGGCACCATACCAAGAATCTGAAATGTTATCATAGCTCCTCAAATGATGCTTTAGATATAAAAGAGTAAAAAATGTGATTAGTTTTTAAGATGATTCCTTTCTCAGTATTCTCCACTTGGTTTTAAGACTTATTGATAGTAACAGTCTCATTAATAGCAACTTTCAAGTGTAAGTGTAATCTTACACAGATTATCTCACTCAACAATGCCAGAGTTAGTGACTGTGGTTCCTATTTTACATATGAAGGTTGGGTAGAAATCAAGCCACAAAGTGGCTGTTCAGCAACTAAAACCCATCTCTATATTTAACCATTTTAATATATTTTCTTATATTAGCTACAGCAACTTCTCTCCTTTCCCTTCATCCAAACTATACATTTATTACCTTTAGAGCTCATAGCTGTTTTTAGAAGAGTTCCTGAGTCCTGACGATATATAATGGATCACTCAAAGTATATTTTAAGGAAAACTAATTCAGTGGAGTATTCATAGATGTTTAAGTTCAAAAGGTTTTGTTGTCAAGTAAACGCCATTAGAAAACTGAGCTTAAAAAAATTAAGCAAGACTCTTTCCTACCAAACACCTCCAAGCCAGCACACTAACTATATGGCTTCAAAAGAAAAAGTTTAACATCAGCATTTCCTATGCATTTGTGATGTCAAGTTGGCTATTTATAAACGTTTTCCAAAAATTATGTGTAAGAAACACAGGTTTTCAGTATGTTTGTAAAAATTACAAGTATGAAAATGTCTAAAGTAAAAAAAGAAAATTATCTGGAAGATTCTGGCATCTCATCAGTAAAAGATTTTGATGGGATTCATTTGGCAGTTAATGAACTCTCTCTCTCTTCCTAACTAAAAAAACCCCAATGCTGGAAAAGTTTAAGACCTACTCAAGTTAAACGGCAAGATTCAGACCCTAGCAGCCAGCAAAGGATAGACAATTGTTTTTATTTTTTCATCAGGCCCTGCTAAGTTCATTAGCTTTCTTCTCAGCCTGAGAAAGCCCTGCCTTCAGTGCACAATCTCCCAGGAATCAAGGAGGTGAAATTCACGTGCCTGCAAGGAATAGGCAGGTCTCTTAAATGATGGCAGTGGGGGAGGTCAGGAAACAATAGGAGTGGTAACAATTGGCGACTGACTCAGGTGTGGTGTCTGGAAGAAAACAGGATTGGTCAGTCTCAGAAACAGAGGGCACAGCACACCCAACCCAGGGGCTACAACCAGCCACCCTTTAGTTCTGGCAGATTTTCACCATGTAAGAGTGAGGGCCCAGTGTTTCCAGGTGTACCTATTGGTTAAGAGATTTTGAGGGGTAAAAAAGTCTTCCAATTTTTAATGTTGGCTCAGAGTTTTTCTTAAAACACTGTATGGACCAAACAAAACATGTCTGAGGGTCAGATTTGGCCCATGGGCTCTTTAGCATTGAGTGTATTTTGCAACAAGGTTAAAAACTGATGGTTTGTGGGCTGGATTTAGCCTGTGCATTTGCAGTGTTTGACTTTCACACTGATTTAAAATATCTTTTTGAATATCTTTAGGCAGGGCTTATGCTCTTTAGTTCGCTACAGTCCTTGTGACTCTAGTTTTTTTACACTTACACAGGCCCACTTAACTCGTTTATATTACCTGCCAGGCCTGTATAGCTATTTAATTGTGTGACTTCTGATCCAAAGGATCAACGTTTTTACTGGGATCAAAACACACACACACACACACACACACACACACGAGAAGAAATAGAAAGAGGAATTCCAACTGATATGAAATCATTATCTATTATATACTGACAAATCGCTTATTTTCGACAAGGTATATAAAGTCCATTGGGAAACTGCAACACAGTAATTAATGTCTGTATATGACTAAGACACAATATTCATATTCATTTGAATTTTATTTCAGGATAATGAGAACAGTACTAAAACATCCTAATTCCTCAACTTTCTGCAGAACTGTATTCTCCTCTTTCACCACACACTTGGATCGGGCCATTTTTGTGGACTCCTGTGTAAGGAATGAGTAAGAAGTCCATAAATTCTGTACTAGTGGCTCAGGCCAAATAAATGTGCTCAAATTTGCTATCAGAGTTTTTAGCCAGTACTTCTGCCATCATTTTTCCTCCATAATTTGGCCTTCTTCAATCAATCCAGAGAAATTTTTTAAGACAAAAGTTGGATGGTTTTAAATTGGCATCATTTTGAACCTAGTTATAGCATAGGTTATGGTGCAATACATGCGCAGAAGATGAGGCATTTTAAAAATTTACCTTCTTCCATTGTTTTACACAGAGTGCTATAACTACAATTTTTTTAAGGTCTTAAATAAAAGGAAAGCAAAAACAAAATTATGGAAAAATATTTTTTACAGCTCTGAGGAACAGGTCATTTAGATCGTCCTTGTTATTTTAAATACATGGGAACAGAATGAGAGGCAGGACTATTGAGAAGCTGTGAAGTCCTAAAACGACCATGGAACATCAGAGCCTTGGCCCTGTGACCTGCTAAACACGTCATCATAACGCTCATCGTTCACTGGAAACCCACAGTGAAAACTGTCCTGGAAAGCAGGGGACCAGCCTGCACCCATGCCTGGGGCTTCAACGCACTGACGCCTCACCACATGGGCTCCATCAGCACCGAGGTCACACATCACCCGCAATCCAGGACGACAAGAACCTTCCCCGGCGGGAGGCAGACAAAAGAACTGAGAATGGAACTTTGCCTTTGGGGGTGCTGATATCATTAGGATATAACAGAATATACAACAGGCCAAGCGATAAGTGACAAGAAGTGTGTGTGTGTGTGTGTGTGTGTGTGTGTGAGAGAGAGAGAGAGAGAGAGGGAGAGATGTGTATTCAAAAATACCCATGAGAATGGAAGCCCACACTTTTCTGTACAGATAACATTATTTGATGTGACTTGACATTTTCCTACACAGAAACAAGCCACCACCCTTGGAGACTCTGCTTCCTTGTCATGTTTTGCCTGAGCATGTGCAGAGCCTTTCCTTTGCTCCAAACTGAAGAACTGCCTTTATTTGTTATTAGCTGACAAGAAAAGTCAAGCACAGTTAGGTGTAACTTTTCACTGTAAACACTTCAATGATTGTGAGACTAAGTGACTTTGTTCTTGTGAAAGGCAGAAACTGGATGGAAAAAATCAAGAGTAGCCATCAATTAAAGGGAAGGAGGGCATGTCCATCCATCCTAAAGAGTTTTCTGTTGTGCCTGCTGCTTTTCTGGGTTCCACGATGCTAAGCAATATTTTAGAAATGGATACAACCAGAAGCTTTTAAGTCTAAAGAGTGAGATTTTATAGCTCACAACTTAGATCTCTTTTAATGTGTAAGCCATATTCTATATGCATATTAGGTATCCTCATTCTGACTAAAGATATATTTGTGCAGAAACTGTGTATAAAGCGCTTTTAAATGTTCTGTGAATAAAGTTCTTAGCTTCTGTTTCACCTGAATCTTGTGTAGAAGACAGCTACATAATTGAATTGTACCATAGGTATTATAATGCAATTGATATTTTAAATGTAAGCAGTAAAGATTGATCTATAATGATGTGTTGGGGGAAATTTATCGATATGTACATCATGGTGACTTTTTGTCCTTTAAAAAAGGTCTTTTATTTATGGAGACACTATAACTCCTGCTTTCAATGTCTTTTCTTTAAGTAGCTATTTACCAGCTAGAAAACATTCTGCATTTAAAATAGAATCTGCCTCTGGAAAGTCTGCTTCCTTTTGTTCCTATTTGAGCCAGTTGTCTTTCAGGAAAGCTACAGAGCCTCTCGAGGGAGCAGTAAATTGAAACACTTCTCCGTGGTCATGGGAAAATGTCCACTTTGTTCCTATTAATACCTGAAGAGCTATAGACTTTGTTACGAAAAAAAAAAATCGAGGCATATAATGAATTTATCAACTTTGTCCGTAGGCTTTAACCTAATTTTCCAGGTTACGTGACCGCTAGAGGACTGTGGCTGAACTCCCAGGGGTGGAGAAGCACGCTCCATCTCTCAGAAGACTTGTCACCCT